AACATCAATGATGAAAGAGAATCATTGACTGGCTGCCTCCTTCATGGGGACACTGGAGATTGAGCCCACAACCCAGGCACGTGCCCTGACCGGGAATTGAACCATGATAGCCTGGTTTATAGGTTGATGCTCAGCCACTGAGCCATGCTGGCCGGGCTAATTCTGGTTTTTTACAAGTTAGATGATTAGCCTTCCTTCTCATAATTAATAAACATATAATGCAATTTTTATAGGCTTTGTATTTCTAAACTCTAAATATTAATTTAAAACATAAAGAAAAATATAGAGAATAATGTAGCAGGTACTTGTGCACCAGCAATATGTATCTTAATATATGATTATTTTAATAGTAATATTGTATTGGATACAGTTTAAAGTCCCAACCTTAATTTTCACTCTTCTCCTCTTTCTAAAAGTTGGTTTGTATTTTCCCATAGATTTTGCTAGGATGGAAATATTAACTGTAAATAGAATATTTTATTGTAGTAATATGGTCTCCTTAGAACTTTTCCTTCAGAGGCTTAGAAATCACACTTTCTTTTTTATTTTTATTGGTCGTTCTTAACGTTTTAAAATATATATGTTTACAAAATCCAAAGTTAGCATCTATAACTTCCTTCCAAATATTAAAAAGATCTTACAACACAAATTCTAAATCCCTTGCCTGTGTCCATGATGTTGTTGTCATCTGGTATTTGTCTTCTACCTTGTCATTAAACTAAAAAATTTAGTTCTTTTATTGTAAAATACTCATGACATAAAATTTAACATTTCAACCGTCTTTTATTGTACAGTTCTGTGGCATTAAGTTCATTCACATTGTTGTGCAACCATCACTAGCATTCATCTTCCCCAGTTGAAACTCTGTACTCATTAAGCCATTTCCTGCTTCTTCCAGTTTCTGGCTACAACTATTCTGCTTTCTGTCTCTATGAATTTGACTATGCAAAATACTTCATATAGAAATCATACAGTATTTCTCACCGTGACTGGCTTATTTTATTTAGCATATTTTCAAGGTTCATTCATGTTGTAGCATGTGTCAGAATTTCCATCTTTTTAAGGCTAAATATTTTACTTTGTATATTTATATCACAGTTTGTTTATCCATTCATCTGTCAATGTACATTCCGGTTGCTTTCACCAGTGGCTATTGCGAATAATGCTATGAAAATGGGTGTGTGTACAAATATGTGTTCAATTCCCTGCTTTCACCTCTATTGGCAATACCCAGAACTGGGATTGCTGGAACATATGGAAATTCTGTGTATCTTTTTAAAATATGTTTTTATTGATTTTAGAGAGAGAGAAAGGGAGAGGGAGAGAGAAACATCCATCAGCTGCCTTAAAAACACCCCCTAACCTAAGCATGTGTCCCAACTAGGAACTGAACTGGCCACCTCTCAGTGCATGGGATGACACTTAACCAAATGAGCCATACCAACCAGGGCTCTATGTTTAATTTTTTTTGAAGAACTGCCATTCTGTTTCCCATAGTGGCTGCACCATTTCACATTCCCACCAACAATACACGAGGGTCGTAATTTCTCCACATTCTTGCCAACACTTGTTAGTTTCTGGGTTTTATATATGTACTAGAGGCCCAGTGCATGAAATTCATGCATGGGGTGAGGGGTCCCTCAGCCCGGCCTGCATCCTCTCCATTCCAGGACCCCTCAGGGGATGTCCAATGGCCAGTTTAGACCTGATTCCACAATCTGGGACCGCTGGCTCCTAACTGCTCACCTGCCTGCCTACCTGATCGCCCTTAACCACTCTACCTGCTGCCTGGTCACCCCTAACTGCCCTCCCCTGCTGGCCTGGTTGCCCCTAACTGCTCTCCCCTGCTGGCCTGGTTACCCCTAACCACCTCTGCCTCGGCCCCTGCCACTGTGGCTTTGTCTGGAAGGATGTCCAGAAGGATGTCTGGAAGATGTCTGGTCTAATTAGCATATTTCCTTTTATTAGTATAGATATCCATTTTAATAGGCGTCATTATGGTTTTGATTTGCATTTCCCTAATGTATAGTTATGTTGAACTTATTAGACATTTGTATGTCTTCTTTGGAGAAGTGTCCATTCAAGTCCTTTGTTCAATTTTTGATCAGGCTTGTTGTTGTTAGTTGAGTTGAAGAAATTCTTTATATATTCTTGTTTAAAAATAAAACAAGATAAATAAATAGGAAATTACTATATTTGATAGTAACCCCTTATCAAATATATGATTTGTAAATGTTTACTCTCATTGCATAGGCTTCCTTTTCATTGTGTTGGTAGTATCCTTTGATTCGCAAAAGTTTATAAATCTGATAAAGTCTAATTTATCTATTTTGTATCTTGTTTCCTGTGCTTTTTAGGACATAGCCAAGCAATCATTGCCATATATAATGAAGCTTTTCTCCATTTGTTACTGGAGATCTGGCTGAGTCAGAGAGGGCTCAGCTCCAGTTAGCTTGAGAGAAAGAATTCAGATGAGTGACAGAAGTATAATTGAAGCAAAGCCATAACAGTATGGCAGTTCCTCAATAATTAAAAATAGAGCTGCCATATGATCCAGCAATTCCACTTCTGGGTATATATACAAAGGAAATGAAAACAGGATTCCAAAGAGAATACTGTAATGCCATGCTCATTTAAGTATTACTTACAATAGTCAAGATAGGGAAACAATCTAAGTGTCCATCATTGGATGAATGGATAAAGAAGGTGTTGTGTTTATATACAATAGAATATTAGTCATCCATGATAAAGAAGGAAATCCTGCCATTTACAACAACTTGGATGTACCCTGACGTCATTATGCTAAGTGAAATAAGCCCAACAAAGACAAGAAGTGCATTGGTATCACTTCTATGTGGAATCTAAAAAAAAAAAAAAAAAAAAAAAAAAAAGTGACTCGGAGAACAGAAATAGTTTCCACGGGCTAGGGGTGGGAAAATAGGAAGAGGTTGGTAAAAGGGTAGTGACTGTAGTTGATAACACTGTATTATATAATTGAAAAAACATTGATCCTGTTTTCAGCTAATTTTATTCAAGGTTCAGCAAAGGAATTTGTAAATATCATAACTTATTTTACACACTGTCATGGGAAGGAATAAAGTAAAATATTTCCAAACTTGGAGTTGAAAGTTAGACTTTCTGGGTTAAATTCAGACTCCATAATTTATTGGTTTTATGTGACTACAGGTAAAATACTTGTCTGTGTTTTGGTTCCTTCCTTTGTGAAACAAAAAATAATAATAATGCATACCTCATAGGATAGTCTGAACACTAAGTTAAATAGTGCATAAAAAACAATAGTGACACCCTGGTTGGGCTCAGTGGATAGAGCATCTGCCTGCAGACCGAAGGGTCCCAGGTTTAATTCTGGTCAAGGGCACATGCCCAGGGTGTGGGCTCAATCCCCAGTAGGGGGTGTGCAGAAGGCAGCTGATCAATGATTCTCTCTCATCATTGATGTTTCTCTCTCTCCCTTTCCCTTCCTCTTTGAAATCAATAAAAAATACTTTTAAAAACAAACAATAATGCCTTGTACATAGTTAACATGTGATGTATGAACAATATACAAAATAAGGCAGTAAAAAGATGATCCATGAAACATTGTTTGCAAATGAGAAACAATCTAAAAGATTATTAATAGTGGAATGGTAACATTTATTATGTGCTATAGAATACTATAGTATATAGAATACTATGAAGAGATTGCAAAAGTTAGGTAGATCTACTTGAGTTAATATGGAACAATCTCTCTAAGTGACAACTACAAATCACAGGCCAATAATATTATGTATGGAATTATTACAACAGTGCAAGGGAAAAATCACAAAATATGCATTTAAAATACCACTTGTATCTTATATATGAATGTGTGTGTGTGTGTGCGTGTAGAAATGTATACAAAGCATTTTTTTAAACAATAATGAGCTTTGGGGAGGGAAGTAGTTGGGGGGTAATCTAAAAGCCCGATTTGTTTATTTTTTAATGATATATTTTATATTATATATATGTATAATCTATGAAATTAACTGAGAAAACCCTAAAAAAATCTTAGTTTTCAGAAATGCTTACTTTCAGATACACTGAGACATATGTACTTAGCAATTTGGTTTGACAACTATTTTGTTGATTTTTCTTTATGTATTGTATTTGTTCTTATCCTTAACAATGAACTTAATGAGGCTCTAAATAATAACAAAAGTACACATTTTTGGATATTTCTAGATAGCTGGCCAGGGAGCAGCATCTTGTGAAATTTTCTCATATTTTTGGAAATATCATAAGACTTTAGTTCCTCAAAACACAATATTTTGCATAAAATTAGTGCTCAATAAATAGTTCTTAAATGAATATTTTATACTAGAGGCCTGGTGCATGAATTCATGCACAGGTGGGGTCCCTCAGCCTGGCTGGCGATCGGGGCCAATCAGGGCTGTCTTGCCCAGTCCTGATTGGGACCCATCGGGCTGGCAGGCCAGGGGGAGGAACCAAGGGAGTTGGCTAGCCATAGGAGGTTTGCTGTGGGAGCGCACTGACCACCAGGGGGCAGCTCCTGCGTTGAGTGTCTGCTCCCTGGTGGTCAGTGCGCATCATGACTATCAGATGGTTGTCCGGTCGTAATGGTCACTTGGACTTTTATATATATAGATTATTGTATTACTATGAATAAAAGGTATGAGATAAAAATATATATTCTGAAAAAATAAAAATATATGTTCTGAAGAGACTACATGAGTATTATACACTTCTGAACAGACTCTGTGTAAGAGTATCATAATCTTTTGCATCATCTAACAATCTAACTTTTTAATTACTAATATATGCATAGTCCTTTGTACCAGAAAATAGTTGTTTCATTTATGATTATCTAAAAAAAAGTTCCCTATAGAAATTCCACAAATAAAACCCTTAAGCATAAAGTTAGGAATGTTTTCCTTAAGTCTTACTATGAGAACTCAAACTCATCAATTATTTTTTCTTTGCTTTTTGCATTTTTTTTTCAGACTTGGGATGTAGCTTTGTCACGGACTGCTAGAGCATGGGGGAAAAAATGTGTGTTTGAGCGTAATACTCATTTAGAAGAAATAAAAATGGCCCATCCTAAATTTAATGGTATTGGTGAAAATATGTGGGTCGGCCTTGAAAATGAATTTACTGCAAGTATTGCTATCAGAAGTTGGTATGCAGAGAAGGAAAGGTACCATTTTGGAAATGGCACTTGCTCTGGTGACTGTTCTAAATATATGCAGGTATCTAATTTTTATATTATTAATTCAATAGATTCCTTAATAGCGTTACTATCAAGTTTTTATTGATTGTTTAAATTTTATAAGTAAATACAAATGGTAAATTATTAAGTCTAATAGAATCAAAGTTCTTATCAGTCCTAATAGTGGAATGGTAACTATTTTCAAAATGTCTGTAATTCTCTCTATTATTTGAACCATACAATTAAAACATTATTTTAAATATAGGAAATTTAACCTCCATACCCAAATATGAAAGGTACTTTTCTAAAAATAATGTACACTGGACAAGGAAGTAAGAAACCAGAAAATAAAAATTATTTCTAAATTATTGACTATAAACATAAGTGTAAGATGATATTTTTTGCACAGATCAGTACACATACCACTATATAACTAATTGGTTATTTTTAAATGCAAATTAACAGTATTATTTTCCTACCTCATGTCTAATAATCTATCTTACACTTTATCCCCCCAAAATACTGAACTACTTATTTCCTATACATATATTTATTATTTTATATATCACATTGTTTAATAATTATTTATATGTGATACTACACTAAAGGCAGGGATCTTCTCATCTGTTTATTCTCAACACAACATGACATTATTTAGGTCTTCAATAAATATTTGTATCAGGGATCAATAATTTATTAAATGAACTTCCAAGCTTATGTAAAATATGATTTTTTTTTTTTTTTTGCCCTAGCCAGTTTTTCTCAGTAGTTAGAATGTTAGTCCGAGGACTGAAGGGTCGAGAGTTTGATTCCAAGCAAGGGCACATACCTCGATTGCAGGCTCTATCCCCGGCCCCAGTAGGCAACCAATCGATGTGTTTCTTTCACATTTATGTTTCTCCCTCTCTGTCTCTTCCCCTCCTGTCTACTCTCTCTGAAAAACCAATGGAAAATATCTTCATGTGAGGATTAACAAAAATAAATAAAATAAAAATTATTATTTTTCTATCAATAAACTGATGTCATGTTTTACATACAACTTAAAATCTTGGAATTTTTTTCATGTTGAACTCATGTCTTTCTCATTCATCAAATCTTCCAAAAAATGTTTGATCTGTTTATTCTTCTTCTAGAAAGTTATAATGTTTCTCCATTATCTTATTTGTATCAAAGCTAGTCTTAATATAACTTCATACTTTCAGTAAACTAGTAAATTCTACTCCCTGAACTACTCCTCTATATTTTGTACTTTTTAATTCTAGTATCTTAGACATTTCTGTTTCCTGCATTTAATCTGACTAACTCTAATTTAACTGTTGCAGTCACTCCATCCTCTATTCTTTTTATGCATCACTCTATTTCTTTACTAACCCTGCTTTTAAAACCACTAAGGCTTGGGATAAAAAGAAACAAAAATGGTTCCCCTCCCTTCCACAGAGATTAACAGAACAAAACAAGTACTTTTTTTGTCACTTGAAAGTATTAGAAATATTAAAGCATTACAGAGAATTTCTGGAATATCTTGAACTATTCTCATATTTTTATTCCTATTTAATACTAGCTTTTCCTTTTATAAGAGCAAGCTCCTTTATTCATTTTTTTAAATGAAAGGCCCAAAATCTTTTTATAATGGAATTTCTTCAACAACAAAAAAAATGACAATAGCATTCAATTACTCTCTACTCTTTTATCGCTTTTTTTCCCCCTTTCTCTAATCTTAGTGTCTCTCTTTTTCTCCCTTCTATTTACAGCTTTTATTCTTTCAAAAATATCTCTCCTCTCTTTTCCTCTTCCTCTCTTCCAATAACCTAGAACTCAGGTTCAATCAGAGGATGAAAATTGATTCAGCTGGTGGGTCTTTCTTTGGCTCAAAAGCATTATTCTGTATCAGTGGTTCTCAAACTTTTTATCCTAAGAATACTTACTGGTAGAATTTATTAAAGTATTTCTCTAACTACAGTGTTGCAAATGCTACCCTAAAACCATGCTAATTCATAGTTCATATTTTTTAAATTATTTAGTTAAAGGTTCTATGTATATTGAATATATTATTGTTTACAATATGGCAGAATAATTGTTTAGAATTAAATTTCATGTTTTTCTTGAAAATTTCATTTTAGCTTGTTTGGGACAAGTCTTACAAAGTTGGTTGTGCTGTTACTCCGTGTTCAGAAGTTGGACGTATTAAATATGCAGCACTTTTCATATGCAACTATGCACCAGGGTAAGTTAATTCAAATTTAAAAAAGAATATAAAAATAAATAAATTGAGAATTTTTTCAACTTAAGTTTTCCTAACTTCCAATATCTATAATAATAAAAGTGTAATATGCTAATTAGACGGGATGTCCTTCTGGGCATCCTTCTGGACGACCGTCTGGACAAAGCGAGGGCTGTGAGGGAAGCCCAGGTCCCAGGTGCCTGCCGGAGGTTGGAGGGAAGCGGTGCCATCATCGGGGGGAAAGGAAGATCTACTCTTGCACAAATTTTGTGCATTGGGCCTCTAGTATTCTCATAAATGTCTTTTTGAACTATAAAAAATAAACGTAAGATGTTACAGAATTTATATTAAAACTAGAGGCCTAGTGCATGAAATTCAGGCATAGGGGGCGGGGGGAATGGTCCCTCAGCCTGGCCTGCACCCTGTCCAATCTGGAACCCCTTGGGAGATGTCCAACTGCTTGTTTTGGATCAGGCCTAAACCAGCAGACGGACATCCCTCTTGCAATTCTGGACCACTGGCTCTTAACCACTCACCTACCTGCCTGCCTGATGCCCCTAACCACTCTGCATGCCTGCCTGCCTGATCGCCCCTAACCCCTCTTCCTGCCTGCCTGATCATTCCTAACTGCCTCTGCCTGCCTGCGGACCTGTTTGCCCCTAACTGCCCCCCTGCTGGCCTGAAAATTTTTTAATCATTCAGGAGCTTCTCATACAGAGCCTCTGGATAAGAACTCAGTCAACAACCTGAATTTGGCCTTTGACACCCTTAGCAAAGAATCTAGCCACACTGTGCCTCGGATTATAGCCTATAGAACTGTTTGATAATAAATGGGTGATAGTTTATGTCACCACACTTGTGGTAATTTATTATTCAACTAGTGGCCCAGTGCATGAAATTTCAAATTCTAAGAGGTCAAGCAAAATAAAGATTTAAAAATATCAGATTTAAAGAGAACTTCATTGATAAACATAGGAAGAGCCGTTTATGTGGAGTGAAGCGATGTCAGGTTGTGATGAATCAAAGACTGTTTTTTCTTTTGTTTTTAAAATGGGAATGATGTGAGTATATTTAAACGTTGACATGAAGTATGTAATATAGTATGTAATATAGAATAAAAGTAATTCTTTACAAAGAATAAAGACATACAAGAGATTAACCTTAGAAAGATGGAGAAGCAGTACTTTAATTTTATTAGAAAAAAAGGAAAGATGGGGTGGGTATATTTGGCACATTTAGTGACAAAAAAAAATCTCAAGCTGCAATCTAAAGTACATTATGTTTCTCTGTAAAGTAAGGCAGAGGATGTCCTGAGAATAAGACTTCGAAGATGGAGTTTAGAAGATTGGGTAGCATAAAACTAGAAATCAATGACAATAAAAACAAAAACAATCAAACACCTGGAGGCTAAATAGCATGCTAGTAAGCAATGACTGGGTTACCAAAGAGATCAAAGAAGAAATAAAAAGCATCATGGCAACAAATGACAATGAAAACACAACAATCCAAAATCTATGGGACACAGTGAAAGCACTCCAGAGAGGGATGTTCATAGCTCTACAGGCCTACCTCAAAAAACAAGCAACAATGGTAATAAATTAACTAACCATACAATTCAAAGAGTTAGAAAGAGAGCAACAAGAAAAGCCCAGCATAAGCAGAAGGAAGGAAATAATAAAGATCAGAGTGGAGATAAACGACAAAGACCAAAAACAATACAAAAGATCAACAAAACAAAGAGCTGGTTCTTTGAAAGGATAAACAAGATTGATGAACCTCTAGCCAGGCTCACCAAGAAGCACAGAGAGAGGACCCAAATAAACAAAATCAGAAATGAAAGAGGTGAAGTAACAACCGATCCCACAGAAATATAAGTGATTATGGAAAAATACTATGAACAATTCTATTCCAACAAAATGGACAACCTAGATGAAATGTACATGTTCTTAGAAAAATACAAGCTCCCAAAACTCAACCAACAAGAATAAAAAAACCTGAATAGGCTGATAACTACTGAAGAAATTGAAACAGCGATCAAAAATCTTTCAGGAAACAAAATCCTGGTCCGGACAGCTTTATAGGGAAGTTTACCAAGCATTCAAAGAAGAACTAACACCCATATTCCTAAAACTATTCCAAAAAATTCAAGAGGAAAGCACACTTCCAAGCTCTTTCTATGAAGCCAGCATTACCCTCATCCCAAAACCAGATAAAGAGACCACAAAAAAAGAGAACCACAGGTGACCATAGATGCTAAAATCCTCAACAAAATTCTAGCAAATCAAATTCAGCAATACATTAGAAAGATCATACACCATGACCAAGTGGGATTTATTCCAGGGATGCAAGGATGGTACAATATCTGCAAATCAATAAATGTGATACATCACATAAACTAACTGAGAGACAAAAATCACATAATCATATCAATTGATGCAGGAAAAGCATTTGACAAAATTTAACACCATTTCTTGATAAAAACTCTCAGCAAAGTGGAATAGAGGGATCATACCTCAACATAATAAAAGCCCTATATGATAAACCTACAGCTAACATCATACACAATGAGCAAAAACTAAACCCATTTCCCCTAAGAACAGGAACAAGACAGTGATGCCCACTTTCACCATTCATGTTCTATATAGTACTAAAAGTACTAGCCATAGTGATCAGACAAGAAATAAAAGGTTTTTGGAGAAACCAAGATGGTGGCATAGGTAAACACCTGAAATTGCTGCCTCGCACAACCACTTCAAAACTACAACTAAAAGACAAAACAGACATCACCCAGAACCACAGGAAGGCTGGCCGAGTGGAAATTCTACAACTAAAAGGAAAGAGAAAAGCACACTGAGACTCAGAGGAGGTGCAGAAGTAAAGTGCAGAGGTACGGAGGCACATGAGGAAAGGGCTGGCAACTGAGGATACGGTTGTCTTTTCCAATTGGGAGGGAGACACAAGCTCCCGACTGCTGTGAACTCCAGTTCCGAGCGAGTCTCTGGGGACTCGGACTCATACAGGGAGAAACTGAACTGTCTGACATCCAGTAGAACTCAAGGGCGGCTTTCTCTCAGAGGTGCTTACAGTGATTACCGCGGGACACTGAGACCCTGGGCCTCTTAGGGCAGGGCTGAGGATCAGCCATAGCTGTTTTCTCCACCCTATTGATCCCCTGAGACCCCACCCTACCCAAGCTGTGCACAGAGGCTTTTGCATATGAATGGCCTGGAACTTTGCAATCTAAAATTACCTAACAAACTGCAGCTGGGTCAGAAAGACCCAGAACATCCAAAATAAGGCCCAAGGCCCCACAGCAGCTTGCATTGCTTCACAGCTGGGCCTCATCTGGGCACCTCTAAACCCCAAACACAGAAGAGGAATCTGCAGATCTCTTCGTAGCTCCTGCTGGGTAGCCTCAGGTAGAGGCTAAATTAGCACCCCCTTAGAGATCCAAGAGCCAGTGTACCCAGTGGTCAGAGTGGGACCATCCAGATTACAACTCCTCAGATCCATAAGGGACACACTCAGGGTGCAGACTCAGTGAGCACCAAAGCCCCACTGAAGCAAGTCTTGCCCCTAAGGGTGTCTCCAGCACAGAAGTTCTCCCACTGTAGGCACAGCTGATTCTCACAGCCAGTTAGCCTCGAAGTCAATTCCTCCCAATGATACCAACAACAATAAAGGCTTAACTACAACAAGACTGTGCACAAAGCCCACAAAGGGGTGCACCAAGAGTGTCCATCTCAGGTAATTGGGAAGGCTGAGCCACTGGGCCCTATAGGACACCTAGCACACAAAGCCACTCTGTCAACACAGGGAAGCAGCCAAAATGAGGAGACAAAAAAAAACAGGCCACAAATGACAGAAATGGAGGAAAGCAAACTACTGGATATAGAATTCAAAAACATGGTTATAAGCTTTTCCACGAATTTTCTAGAAACTGCCGATAAATTTAGTGAGACTCTTGATAAATCTAGTGAGACCCTTGAGGATATGAAAAAGGACCAATTAGAAATTAAGCATACACTGACTGAAATAAAGAATATTTTACAGAGATCCAGCAGCAGACTAGAGGATCGCAAGAATCAAATCAAAGATTTGAAATACTAAGAAGTAAAAAACACCCAACTGGAAAAGCAAAAAGAAAAAAGAATCCAAAAATATACAGATAGTGTAAGGAGTCTCTGGGACAACTTCAAGTGTACCAACATCCGAATTATGGGCTTGGCAGAAGAAGAGAGAGAGCAAGATATTGAAAACCTATTTGAAGAAATAATGACAGAAAACTTCCCCTATCTGGTGAAAGAAATAGACTTACAAGTCCAGGAAGCACAGAGAACCCCAAACAAAAGGAATCCAAAGAGGACCACACCAAGACACATCATAATTAAAATGACAAGAGCAAAAGACAAAGAGAGAATCTTAAAAGCAGCAAGAAAAAAACAGTTAGTTACCTACAAGGGAGTACCCATATGGCTGTCAGCTGATTTTTCAACAGAAACTATGCAGGCCAGAAGGGAGTGACAAGAAATATTCAAAGTGGTGAATAGCAAGAACCTACTACATCCAAGATTACTTTAACCAGCAAAGCTGTCATTCAGAATTGAAGGTCAGATGAAGAGCTTCACAGATAAGAAAAAGCTAAAGGAGTTCATCACCACCAAACCAGTATTATATGAAATGCTGAAAGGTATTCTTTACAAAGAGGAAGAAGAAGAAAAAGGCAAAGATAAAAATTATGAACAACAAATACATATCTATCAACAAGTGAATCTAAAAATCAAGCGAATAAAAAATCTGATGAGCAGAATAAACTGGTGAATATAATAGAATCAAGGGCATAGAAAGGGAGTGGACTGACAATTCTCGGGGGGAAAGAGGGTGGTTGTGCAGGAAGAGACTGGACAAATATCATACACCTATGGATGAGGACAGTGGGGGCTGTAAGGGCAGAGGGTGGGGTGGGATCTGGGTGGAGGGGAGCTATGGGGGGGAAAAAAGAGGAACTACTGTAGTAATCTGAACAATAAAGATTAACATAAAAAAAGGAGAAGAAATAAAAGGCATTCAAATTGGAAAAGAAGAAGTAAAACTATCCTTATTTGCAGATGACATGATACTATACATAGAAAACCCCAAAGACTGCATCAAAAAACTACTAGACCTAATAAATGAATTTGGCACGATACAAAATTAATACCCAGAAATCTATGACCTTTTTATACACCAATAATGAAATCACAGAAAGAGAAATGATAAAAACAATCCCATTTACCATTGCACACAAAAAATTAAGACAACTAGTAATAAACTTAATTAAGGAGGTAAAAGACCTGTACTCAGAAAACTACAGTACACTGAAAAAAGAGATAGAGGAAGACATAAACAAATGGAAGAACATACCACGTTCATGGATTGGTGGAATCAACATCATTAAAATGTCCATACTACCTAAAGCAATCTATAGATTCAATGCAATACCTATTAAAATACCAATGGCATATTTCAAAGATCTAGAACAAACTCTCCAAAAATTCATCTGCAATAAAAAAAAGACCCCGAATAGCCAAAGCTATCCTGAGAAAGAAGAACAAAGTTGGAGAGATCACAATACCAAGCCACAGTTCTCAAAACTGCCTGGTACTGGCACAAGAACAGACATATAGACCAATGGAACAGAACAGAGGACCCAGAAATTGACCCAAGCCATTATACACAATTAATATTTGACAAAGGAGGCAAGAGCATACAATGGAGTCAAAACAGTCTTTTTAATAAATGGTGCTGGGAAATTTGGTCAGAAACATGCCAAAAAAATGAAACTAAATCACCAACTTACACCATACACAAAAACAAACTCAAAATGGCTAAAGGACTTGAATGTAAGACAGGAGACCATAAAAATCCTACAAGACTCCATAGGCAGCAACATTGCAGACATATGTCGTAACAATATCTTTATAGACACAGATCCTAGGGCAAGAGAGACTAAGGAGAAAACAAACAAATGGGACTATATCAAAATAAAAAGCTCCTGCACAGCAAAAGAAACCATCAACAAAACAACAAGAAAGCCCACTGCATGGGAGAACATATTTGCCAATGTATCTCCAATAAGGGTTTAATGTCAAACATTTACAAAGCACTCATACAACTTAACAAAAGGAAGATAAACAATCCAATCATAAAATGGGCAAAGGACCTAAATAGACACTTTTCGAAAGAAGACGGAAGGCTAAGAGTCATATGAAAACATGCTCAAAGTCACTAATTATCTAAGAAATGCAAATCAAAACAACAATGAGGTACCACCTCACAGCTGTCAGAATGGCTATCATCAAAAAATTCAAATGACAAGTGCTGGCGAGGATGCGTAGAAAAAGGAAGCCTCCTTCACTGCTGGTGTGAATGCAGACTGGTGTAGCCACTGTGGAGAACAATATGGAGTTTCCTCAAAAAACTAAAAATGAAACTCCCATTTGACCCCAGTGATCCCACGTCTAGGAATATATCCCAAGAAACCAGAAATACCAATCAGAAAGGATATATGCACCCCTATGTTCATAACAGCACAATTTACAATAGCTAAGATTTGGAAACAGCCTAAATGCCCATCAGCAGATGAGTGGATTAGAAAACTATGGTACAGCTACACGATGGAATACTACACTGCTATAAAAAAAGATGGAATTCTTACCATTTGCAGCAGCATGGATGGAGCTGGAGGGCATTATGCTAAGTGAAATAAGCCAATCAGTGAAAGAAAAATACCACATGATCTCACTCATTTATGGATAATAAAGAACATTATAACCTGATGAACAAAAAGATAAATACAGAGGCAGAGAAGCATTGAACAGACTGTCAAATTACAGCGGGAAGGCTGGGGAGAGTTGGGGGGAGGGGGAGGTAAGAGATCAACCGAAGGACATGTATGCATGCATATAAGCATAACTAATGGACGCAAGATACTGGGGGGTGGGGTGAGGGCATGTGCCGGGGCAGGTGGGGGGGATGGTAGGGAAGGACAGGGGAAGGTCAATGGGAGAAAAAAGGAGACATATGTACTACTATTTGTTACTTTAAACAATAATAAAAAATAAAAAGAAGAAGAAGATTGGGAAGGTTTGAAATAGTTATTGTGGAAACTGAGAGAGGAATCTGAGTAGTGAACCATAGAAAGATTCCTTACCTCATTTAATGATTTTGCTCCAGCAGCACCCAGTTGCCCTGAAGCAGATATAGAACATTCACACAGTAAGATACCTTCATTTTTTTTTCTTTTCAAGACTTGGGTTTAATCAGGTGTCTATAAAGGAAAATAGTGCAAGAGAGTTTCAGGTTTTTAACTGAACATGCAAATATGAGAATATGCAGAGAGCTAAGCTAAATAGAGAAGAGACAACAGGGTGGCTAGGGAAAAAATAGACTTGCAGTGCCAGTGAAATTAATGGGCAAGTAAATAAGTGAGCACTCTGGAAGGATAGGAGGTTGCAGTCAGCGAGTGTAATTTGTGATTTTGTGAGTTCAGAGGTGGAGCAGATTTAGGGGATAACAAGATCCAGAGTGTGGCTATAAAATGCCAATTACAGTAACAGAGAGACCAAGTTATTGGGCAAATCATCCATAAGCATATTGTAATCATCTGGGTCCCAAATTCTAAGACAATGGCACAATTTTGATTGAAAGGAAGATTGTGAATCAGGTGCTAAAATGAGGAAGGAGGCATGATCAGAAAGAAGATAGTATCTTGGGGATGATTAGAGGATGGTACAACAAAATAATATCAACCTCGAAGGAGCTTTGTCAGTGTTTAACTGTGGCCTCTAGTCCTTTAGTTCCAAGCAGTGGAAGTGGAGATATGACCACCTGAATTTTACAGAAAGTGATACAAAGTAACATAGCTTTGCACATAAAGGGATAATTTGAGGCAGAAAACAACAGGATTCGTGCTTTTCTTGACCTTGAATAAGTCTAGGAAGTAGTCATAGAGTTTTGGCAGTTAATACATTAGGTCAGTGGTAAGCAAACTCATTAATCAACAGAGCCAAATATCAACAGTACTTCTTCAAAATAGACTCGCCCAAGCCAAAAACCGACTTCTGCGCATGGGCCACGAAGTTTCAATCACACTGTACGTGCGCACCCGCACGTGGTATTTTGTGGAAGAGCCACACTCAAGGGGCCAAAGAGCCGCATGTGGTTCGCGAGCCACAGTTTGCCAACCACTGCATTAGGTGTATCAGATGGAGAGCCAAATAAGACCTCTAAAAGATAATCTTCCTTGCTGTTTATTGCATTGTATTTTTCTCTAGCTTACTGGGATAGATTCTTTAAACCTTCTTGGGAAACCTGTAGATGCCCAGGTGTACCAGTAAACTGGAAGCCAGCTTTGTGATATTTCTCAATGATATATAGAAGAGTGAAAGTGAAAGTGGTTATTGTATGTGGTATAACTCTTCTGGCTTTATGAAATGAAAAGATCAACATCTGTTTGATCTTCTCTTGCCATTGTTCTATGGACATTGTACAGATATGTGAGTCTATACATGGAGAACTTTGAAGAGAAGAATCTGCTTACAAATTACAATTGTTAGATTGTGAAACCATGGAGCTGAATTACCTCCTTCATGAATAAAGTGGTGGCAGAAATGGGGCTAGTGTAAGCAATGAAAGTTTCCATCAGCACCAGAATTGTGTTCTCCTTCTGTAACAATATAGTTATACTATAAAATTTAAATAATGGTCTTCTAATGGACTTTGGGTTGGACATAGGTAAGGTTACCCAATAGGCCAGCCAGGCAACATGTCCTTATCTAGGACTTGGACCCACGTCCTTATAAGTGGCAGTATATTGAAGGTATGGCCAGATATGAGTCTAAAAAAACTTCTAGGGACATATATGCCTAACGTTTGTTTTTATAGCTTCCAATACACACTGAGTAAATAAGCAGTTCTATTTAATGATCAGTATCAATGACCACCCTCACTGAAAAACATATTTTCCTACATATCTCCTCTATCTTTTCTATCCTAGATCTTTTATATAAGCTTCCCAATTCATATCTACTTTGGGGACCCTTTTTCTTACTTAGCTTTGAGGAATTGATGTAATAGTTTCTCAGTTCTCCACCCTGGTCTATACAGTGGGTTAAAACAACTTGGTAAAATTCCATTTAAATTTATTTACTTCTTTATATATTTATGTATTTTTCATGTAGACTTCAAAGTAATCCATGCAGCTAGGTCTTTGAGACAATAGACATTTCAGGATTTTTCAAACTCTTCAGAAAATTAATACAACTTCTTATACAAGTGTGCCAACAAGAAAGCAGTTAATTACAAAGCATTCTGTAATATCCATTTTTTAAAGAAAAATTTTGCTACAAATAAGATAAAATAAGCTTTAAAACTCACTCATTTTTAAATTACAATATTTTCTTTCAAGGATATCGGAATTCATTTCAAAAGAGACTTTTTTGTGGAGGGGAGAGAAAGGAAAGATTGCATTTCCAATTGGAGTACTTCCTTGAATCCTTTTTCTTAATTAAATCACCTTTCTAAACTAATAAAAATTGTTAATTACATTACGTAAATAATATAAAATGTGAGACATTTTCTAACCAAATGTTTTCTGCTTTTTTTGTAGAGCAACTCTAAGAAGAAAGCCTTATCAACAAGGAGTAGTTTGTTCTCAATGTAACGAAAGTGACAGATGCACAGATTTTCTATGCAGTAAGACAAAGAAAATAACTTTAACATTTAGAAAAAAAGACCATAGTGCATAGGACGATGAGAAAAATGAAGTGTTAAACACTAGTTTTCCATTATCATGCTAATATAGTTCCTTTGACCAGAATGGTATTATATTATCAAAGGATGGTTGAAACAGTATCATCTTTAGATTTTTCTAAACTGCACAGCCTTTTCTGCCCCCACTTACCTCTATTCCTGCCCTTAAGGACATTCCAGAATGTCTGAAAGAAGAAATGAAGACTAATAGCTATACCCTGAAAAAGCTTCACAATTAATTCCTGAAAGCACAGCCTTTTTGAAAATGACTGGTCTAAAAGATAAGCTATTTCAAAAGAGAAAAGAAGTAATTTGCAGTGTATTTTTCTTATGAGTGTTTCCTCTATAAACTCCTAGAGTATGACTTTCACCAAAAAGAAGAGATGAATTGAAAAGCAAAATGATTCATTGAAAGAATTATCCAGAAGCATTGAATCTTTATTCATAGACAAAGACCAAAATAATTCTGAAGTTTATAATTACAAAGCAAAATATAAATATGATAACTTTAGGAGATATACAAGTGATGCAATTAATAAAACTTGGGAGAAGAGAGGGGTAGCGAAAATATGCTTAATTTCTTCATCTTTTAGAGCCAGAAGCCAAAAGATATAATTTAAAGCTGATAAATCAAACAAGAGAGATGTGGAGGATCCAACATGGTGCAGATTAGGTAAAAGTTATACTCACCTCTTCCCAGGACCAAACTGGAATTACAACTAAAGTATAGAAAAAATAATCCTGAATAGCCAACTGAAGACTAGCTGGAGAGAAATCTTAAAATCAAGGATTTACAGAAGAGGCCACATTGAGACTGGTGGGAGGTGTGGAAGCACAAAAGGGCTGGGTGGACACTCACAGTCAGTGGCTGAAGTTTTGGAGGGATATATTGCCTGTGTTGGGGGAAGGTCCCTCTGAGAAGTTTGGGGTCTAAACCCCAAGTGGGTCTCCCCAGCCCAGAGCTCCAGAACCAGGAAAGGAGCCCACACAACATCTGCCTGTGAAAAGTAGTGGTGTTTTTGTCCACCAGGGAGAGACAGCTAGAAACACAGGCGAACTTTTTAAGGGGCCAACGCACAAAATTTTCGTTCATAGCCACTCACCCTGGGCTCTGGCGGAGGGAGGGCAGAGTGCACTAGAGGTGCATGAGGAGGGTCTGGAATTGGTGGCAAGAGAGCTGAAAGGTCGCCGCTGGGATCCCTGTGCTAAGTCATTCCCCCGTACTGAAAGAGCCATCTTTCTTAGGCAGAGTATTCCCCTCCATGGAACATCAGCCTGGGAGAAAGAAATAGCCCCACCTTGGAATCCCTCTCACCCCACCCTGAGCCTACACCCTGGTGAAGAGTACAACTAGAGGATCTTTAAGTGAGCCTAACAGACAGACTGCAGACAGAGGCTGATGTCTGGATGTGTTGAGATTTCTGCTGATCTGTCCCTGGGCCCAGTGCTAGTCAAAGCAGACCTTGGTGGGCAGCTTGGTCTTTCCACATGCATACAGGCCCAGAAGAGGGAGCCACAGTCTGTGGATCACTGATAGCTCCAAACAGTTTGCCCAGGGCCAGTCATAGACAACACCTGGCATTGGCCAGCACCAGAGTCCTTCTGAAGAGGCCCAGAACCAAGACATCCAGTGACCAGATTCTGACAACAGAGTACAATCCAATAAGCTTCACAAGCAGCATATCCATAGGGAGATCTCAGCAGAACCAAACCCTACTGAGGTACATTCCACTCCAGGTGATCAGCACCTGCACAAAAGCTTGCATGCTGTGTCCGGTGTTTGAGCCTCACAGTCAGATAGCCTGAGAGTCAATCCCACACACAAACTGGCTAAGAACAATCAAGACTTAACTACAAAAGGAGGGCCCACATAACATGCACAAGGGACATTCTTGGTGCGTCCAGCTCAGGTGATCAGGAATAGTTCATCACTTGGTCCCACAGGTCACCTACTACATAAGGCAACACTGGGAATCACAGCAGATCTACATAATACATAGAAACAAAAAGAAAAATGCAGCAGAAAGGGAGAAACAAAGAAAGAGGCCCCAAATGAAAAAGAAGAGAATTCTCCAGAAGAGCTCATTGAAATGGGGGTAAGCAATTAATCAGATACAGAGTTCAGAGTAATAATTATAAGGATGCTCAACAACATGACAAAATGCATTGAACTGTACACATAAAAAGAACAGATTTTACTATATGTTAATTACAACCTGGCTTAAAAAAGAGACCACCTAAAAAAAAATACCACCTAAAATACACAATGAATACTAACTAACATTTGCATACTCTTGGAAAAAAGATACCATAAATATAAAAAAAAAAAGTAGAATAAAGAATAGCATAAGGGATTCAAGGTATGGGATGGGGGGAAACCTAAAGATTAAGAATGCTTGACATACAAAACCACTGGAAGACACTTCTCAAAGATCAAAGGGTAAAATATACAAAAATCAATGAAACCAAGAGCTGGTCCTTCAGAAAGATAAACAAGATTGATAAATATTTAACCAGACTCATCAGGTCCCAAATAAATAAAGGGCCCAAATAAAATCAGAAATGAAAGAGAAGTAACAAATGATACCAAAGACATACAAGGAATTAATTGCAAGAAAGTATTATGAACAACTATATGCCAACAAATTGGACAACCTAGATGAAAATGGATAAATTCCTAGAAACATACAATCTTCCAAAACTAAATAAAGAAGGATCAGAAAATCTGAATAGGCAGATTACAACCCATGAAATTGAAGCACTAATCGAAAAACTCCCTACAAATAAAAGTCCTGGACCAGATGACTTCACAGGTAAATTACACCAAACATTCAAAGAAAAACTAACATTTATCCTTTTCAAACTATTCTGAAAAATTCAAGAGAAGGAAAAACTCCCATGCTTATTTTACAAGGCCAGCATGATTCTAATTCCAAAACCAGATAAAGACACAACAAAGAAAGAAAATTATAGGCCAATATCCCTGATGAACATAGATGTTAAAATCCTCAAGAAAATATTAGCAAACCTGATCCAGCAATACATTAAAAAGATCATATACCATGATAAAGTGGGATTTATTCTGGGGATACAAGGCTGATAAAATATCCACAAATCAATAAACATGATACCACATAAACAAACCCACAGAATCATATTAATAGAAGCAGAGAAAGCACTGTTTTTTTTCAAGCTATAAGAGAACAATTATTTGGAAAATCACAAAGGTAGAAGAAGTTATTCATAGAAGAAATGGGCTTAGGAAACAAGTTGTAGAGGAAAAGGAAGGACCTATGAGCTAGGGAGTGAGGAAGGTAAAGGGGGAAAGATGGGGAAAGAAAGGGAGAGGGTGGAAGGGAAAGGCTGAGACATGATCCCAGGAGGGAGAGCCAATCCAGCACCCATTTATGATAAAAACTTTCAGCAAAGTGGGAATAGAGGGAACATACCTCATTGTAATAAAGGCCATATATCACAACCCTCAGCCAACATCATACTCAGAGGGCAAAAACTAGTAGCATTTCCTTTAAGATCAGGAAAAAGACAGGGATGTAAACTTTCATACTCTTATTCAACATAGTACTGGAAGTCCTAGCCACAGAAATCGGACAAGAAGAAATAAAAAGCATCCAAACTGCAAAGAAGGAAGTAAAACTGTCATTATTTGCAGATGACATGATATTGCACATAGAAAACCCTAAAGACTCCACCAAAAAACTACTAGATCTAATGAATTTGGCAAAGTAGTAGGATAAAAAGTTAATATTCAGAAATAAGGAAATAAGTGGCATTTCTATATACCAATAATAAACTATCAGAAAGAGAAACCAAGAAAGCAATCCCATTACCACTGCAACAAGGAAAATAAGGTAGCTAGGAATAAATTTGAGGTAAAAGACCTGTATTCAGAAACTATAAAACATTGAAGAAAGAAATTCAGGAAGATACAAATAAGTGAAAGTATATATACTGTGTTCATGGATTGGAAGAATTAACATTATTAAAATGTCTATACTATCTAAAGTAATCTATAGATTCACTGCAATTACTATTAAAATACCAATGGCATATTTTACAGATCTAGAACAAATATTCCAAAAATTTATATGAAACCAAAAAAGACCCCAAATAACCCATCAATCTTGAGAAAGAACAAAGTTGGAGGGATTGCAATTCCAGATGTCAAGTTATACTACAAAGCCTCTGTATTCAAAATAGCATAATACTGTCTCAAGAACAGGCATATAGATCAGAACAGAGACCCCAGAAATTGACCCGAAAGAGGCAAGAGCATACAATGGAATAGAGACAGTCTCTTCAAAAAATGGTGATGGGAAAATTGGACAGGTACATGCAAAAATAAGAAATTAGACCACCAACTTATACCATACTCAAAATAGATAAAAGACTTAAGTCATGAAACCATAAAAATCCTAGAAGAAACCATAGGCAGCAAAATCTCAGACATCTCACATAGCAGTATGTTTGCCAATACATCTCCTACGGTAAGGGAAACTAAGGAGAAAATAAAAAAAGTGGGACTACATCAAAATAAAAAGTTTCTGCACAGCAAAAGAAACAACAAAATGAAAAGGGAGCCCACTGTATGGGAAAACGTATTTGCCAATGATATATCTAATAAGGAGTTAATTTCCAAAATATTTAAGGAACTCATACCATTTAACAAATGACAAAAATTGAATCAAAAATAGGCAAAGGGCCAAAATGGATATATAGATGGCCATATAGATGGATATATAGAGGCAGATGAAAAAATGCTCAGTCACTAATCATCTGAGAGATGCAAATCAAAACAACAATGAGGTATCACCTCACACCTGTCAGAATGGCTATCATCATCAACAAATCCACAAATGACAAGTGCTGCTGAGGTTGTGGAGAAAAGGGAACCCTCATCCACTGCTGGTTGGAATGCAGACTGGAACAGCAACTATGAAAAACAGTATGGATTTTCCTCAAAAAATTAAAAATGGAACTGCCATTTGACCCAGCGACCTCACTTCTAGGAATATATCTTAAGAAACCTGAAATACCAATTAGAAAGAATATATGCACCCCTATGTTCATAGCAGTGCAATTTACAATAGCTATGATCTGGAAATAGCCCAAGTGCCCATCAGCAGATAAGTGGATAAAAAAACGGTGCTACATTTACACAATGGAATACTATCTATATGTATGGATAACTACGACAGAACGACCAGAATGACCAGTCACTATGATGTGCACTGACCACCAGGAGGCAGACGCTCAATGCAGGAGCTGTCCCCAGCCCACAGGCTCTGATCACCAATGGGGCTTGCTAATCAACCTCCTGGTCCCTGCCCCTAGCCGGCAGGCCCCAATTGCCCAATTGGGGCCAGGCCCTGGGCTGGGACAGGAAACAAAGGGTGGGTGGTGGCAGGCGCGGCCCATTTCTCAGGGGGGCTGAGGGTCAGCTCCCTCCTCGGCCGGTGGCCAACCTACTGGGTCCCTCCCCCTCCCCCTCCCCCCAGCCAGCAGGCCCTGATTGGGGCCTGCTGGCCAACCTCCCTGCCCCTCCCCCTGGCCAGCAGGTCCTGATCACCCAATAGGACCAGGCCCCGGGCTGGGACAGGAAACTGGGCGTGGGTGGCGGTGTACACGGGTGGTGAGGGAAGGAGGAGGCTGGGAGGCAGGGAACCTAATTGGCCCTGATCACTGGCCAGGCCTAGGGAACCCACTCATGCACGAATTTCGTGCACTGGGCCTCTAGTGCAGCTATAAAGAAGAAGGATCTCTTACCCTTTGAGACACCATGAAGCAAAATAGGCCAGTCAGAGAAAGATAAGTATCACATGATCTCACTCATATGTTGAATCTAATGAACAAAATAAACTGATAAAAAGATAGATCCAGAGACATAGAGGCATGGAACAGGCTGACAAATCTCAGAGGGATGGTGGGGGGGAGGGGATAGATTAGCCAAAGAACTTAAATATATCTATTTATATAAAAGCCTAAGCAACAGAATGACCAGAACGACTGGTTACTATGATGTGCACTGACCACCAGGGGACAGATACCCAATGCAGGAGGTGCCCCCTGGTGGTCAGTGTGCTCCCACAGTGGGAGTGCCACTCAGCTGAGACCCACCAGCCCGATGGCAGCCACTCCCTCCCTCAGTAGTCCTGCAGGTCCAATATCAGAGAACGGTCGAGGCACCAAGGGACCAGCACCGCTGGCATGATCCCAATAACACCACCAGCCTCCTGGAAGTCAGCCTTGGGCACTGGGGCCACTTCCCCTCCCTAGATGCTCCGCAAGAAAGAAACAATATAAAAGCGGCTGCCAGGTGGCTCCTAACAACCAGCGTGAAAGTCAGAGGGACGGATACGGATCCCATGTCAGCAAGGGCATCCCACCACCTGCCCGGAGGGCCAATCGCATCCCAGCCTTCCACCCCACCCCCCTCAGAACCCCAACCATGCACAAATTTGTGCAATGGGTCTCATATATATATATATATACACACACACACACATACACACACACACACATAATCCATGGACACAGACAATAGTGTGGGGAAGGCCTGGGGGGGCGGGCAGGGCTGGGTAGAGGGGGTCAATGGGGAGAAAAAGAGACATTGGTAATACTTTCAACAATAAAGATAATTTAAAAAAAAACACAGCATGTTACTGGCATAAAAACAAACATATAGATCAATGGAGCAAAATAGAGAGCCCAGAAATAAACCCATCCCCAACATTACTAATCATCAGAGAAAGGAAAATTAAAACCATGAGATATCACCTCATACCTGTCAGAATGGCTATCATCAATAAATCAACAAACAAGTGTTGTCAAGGATATGGAGGAAAGAGAACCCTTGGTGGGAATGCAGATTGGTGCAGCCACTGTGCAAAGCAGTATGGAGTTACCTCAAAAGAAAAAAAAAGGAACTGCCTTATGACCCAGCAATTCCACCTCTGGGAATTTAGCTGAAGAAACCCAAGACACTAATTTAAAATAATATATGCTAATTGCAGTGTTATTTATAGTAGTCAAGATTTGGAAGCAGCCCAAGTGTCCCTCAGAAGATGAGTAGATAAAAAGGCTATGGTAGCCTGGCCAGCATGGCTCAATGGTTGGCAGGGCTCAGTGGTTGAGCATCAACCTATGAACCAGGAGGTCAGGGTTCGATTCCTGGTTGGGGCACATGCCCAGGTTGCAAACTCAATCCCCAGTGTGGGACTTGCAGGAGGCAGCCAATCAATGATTCTCATCATTGATGTTTCTCTCTCTCCCTCTCTCCCTCTCCCTTCCTCTTTGAAATCAATAATAAAAATATATGGGGGGAAAAAAGCTATGGTACATTTACACAATGGAATACTACTCAGCTGTAAAAAGGAAGAAAATTTTATCCTTCGTAATAGCATGGATGGACCTGGAGAACATTATGCTGAGTGAAATAAGTCAGTCAGAAAAAATAAGTTCCATATGATTTCACTCATATGTGAAGTTTAATGACCAAACTGAACTAATAAGCAAAATAGAGACAGACTCATAGATAGAAAGTAGGTCAACAGCTTGGAAGGAGGGTTGTTAGTGGGGGAAGTGAGAAAAAAAAGAAAGAGAAAGAACTCATGGACACAGACAACAGTATGGAGATTATTGCAAGGGAGGTGGGAGGGAGTGGAAGAGTGTAGAGGGCATATAAGTGGTGATGGGGAAAAATAAAGAAAAAAAACAAGATGTAAGTATAAATGTACTTAAATATTTGATCAAGTGCAAAAGTAAAAGAATGTAATCAATAAAAATTGGTGATAAGAAATGAAGATGCAAAAAAGAAATGTACTAATTACTTCATTGCTTATTCTAAGCAATTGATAGATACACATACACAGAATAAAGTTGAAAAAAATATAGAGACTATATGGTACAATATTTTAAATGAGCTGCAAAATAGAAATTTTTACATAAAATACATAGTAATAACTATGACCAAGCACAAAAGATTGAAATCATCTCAAAGATCCAGCAGAAAATTGGTTCATCTCGCAGGTGCCAGAATAGTCATTTCTAAATTTTCCTCTAAGGGTTTTATCATTGCAAGACAAGCCCCAGGTTGCCACTATGCCCTCTATGTGTGAGAACTCATTTATCCTCCCACTCTTTTTCCTAGTGGAATCCAGGAAAGGTTATCTGACTTTCTATGCCCAGGTGAGCAGAGGAAAGAAAATTTATTTCCTGAAAGGTATTATGACAGCTTTGGGCTAGATAGCGAAAACCAAACTATAGAGTTAACTTTGCCAGCTAGGAAATGAAGAGCAACTGAAAGCTTCTGAAAATAAAGATTCCATGAGAAAAGTGAGTAGATTCTGAAGATTAATTTGCAATGATCAGTATAGGGGAGAGATGAAAATAAGAGATGTTGTAGAATCCTAGGTTACCACCAAGGGCTAATAAATGTCAAAGGCTTACTTAGTTACAATTGAGCAATCTGACTGCTTTTGAGTTTAGGTGATAAACTTTAAAAATAATTATTTACTTGTAGTTAATTCAAAGTAGTATAGTAAAGCCCAGTCGGTGTGGCTCAGTGGTTGAGCTCAATTTGTGAACCAGGAGGTCACCAATGAACCAGGAGGTCTCTGTTCCAATCTTGAGAAAGCAAACAGATATATAACAATCTTGAGAAAGCAAACAGATATATATATATAAGATGATTTATATAAGATGACAATGATTTAGAGACAGAATTAGTTCTAGAATTCACATCTCTTCCTATACGTTCATGCTCTCTGTTACTAAAAGAAGATATATTGGACTTTATGGTTGGGTGCTGGTAGGACAGCAGAAATCAAATATAATAATAGTATGATGCCTGAGAGCTAGGAAAATGATGTCATTATTTTTGGAAAAAATATTTTCTATTTTAGAGAAAGACAAAGTATATGTCATTCTTTATTGACTTCCTTTTTTTTCCCCCTAGGCAATGCAGATCGTGAGGAAGCCATATGTATGTATTGTTGTACTTTATTTCTTGAACAATTTAACTACTTTATGTGCAATCCAGCTTTCAATTGCTTTTTTATTGACAGATTATCAGTTTTGGTATCCAAGATGGGAAGTGCCCCGGCCACTTGTTTGTGACCCACTCTGCTTCTTAATTTTCTTTTTGAGAACACTAAGTTTTACATTATGTGCCACAATTGTTTTGATAGTACAGTCTTATTTTCCAAATATATTAACGGAAGAACAGATGACATTTCCTCCTGAGGTAACAGAAAAAGAGGAAGAAGAGGAGGAGGAAAGGGAGGCAGAGGAAGAAGAAGAAGAAGAGGAGGAGGAGAAAGCAGAGGAGGAGGAGAAGGATGAGGATGAGGATGAGGATGAGGATGAGGATGAAGATGACTAGGGTTAGGAAGATGAAGGATAAGATATTACCACCATCATAGGACAAAAGTATAATACCAAAAAGCAACATTTTTTTGAGTTCAAATAAAAAAATATTTACAAGCCACTATTGCAATACCTTTTATTCCTTCTCATACTTATTCAACAAATTTAAATTTGAAAAACAAAGAAACAAACAAAAACATGTACTTTATTAGTAAGTATGAGAAGGTAAGCTCTTGGGAACTAAGAACATATAAAGAAGTGATGGTAGAAATGCTAAGATTTCACTATGTTGTCCTGATAAAGGAGAAAATTCCCATTTTCTAAATATGTTTCTATCTCTGTGTTTTTAAGATTTTTAACGTGTGTTAATAAATTTCTCAAGCATTAAGATTTACCCGTGAGGTATTCAAGACCATTCCAACTTCAAGACAACCATTTAATAGATAACTTTTGGTTTTGTTGTTTTTATCATTACTATCATCGTTGTTATTAGTAATGGTGATTGTGGTGGTGGTGATATTCTCCATGTGATGTCAGGGCATCAAATATTATTTATTTTTGTAATATATATGTTTGGAATGGTTTAAGTGGTACTTGTATATGCTGTTAGGAGATAAACTTATTATTCTACTTTATGTTCAATCTTTCATTAAAGCCTTGCTGTAATTCTTTATTAGGCTAAATAATTTGTTGCCACCAAGGGCTAATAAATGTCAAAGGCTTACTTAGTTACAATTGAGCAATCTGACTGCTTTTGAGTTTAGGTGATAAAATAAACTTTAAAAATAATTATTTACTTGTAGTTAATTCAAAGTAGTATAGTAAAGCCCAGTCGGTGTGGCTCAGTGGTTGAGCTCAATTTGTGAACCAGGAGGTCACCAATGAACCAGGAGGTCTCTGTTCCATTACTGGTCAGGGCACATGCCCAGATTGTGGATTCACTCCCCACTGGGGGGCATGCAGGAAACAGCCAATCAATGAGGCTCTCTCATCTTTGATGTTTCTATCCTTCTCACCCTATCCCTTCCTCTCTCTGAAATCAATAAAAACATTTTTTAAAAGTATAGTAAAAGTGCATAAATTAGTAATATAAATTAACTATTTTCAGCTAATACTAATGAATGAACTGAATAAAAACACCTAACATAACAAAATACATCAAATGGTATAAACTGTATGTTAATGAACTCTATTCTGTGTATATGAAGTCAGTCTCTGTTGGGAGCACATGAGACATGGTTGGAAAGTTTGTAAGGAGGACGTTCTGAGTAAAGGGAAGTGTGTGGAAGGCCGCCTGCCCTGTTTATCGGAATTCCGACGTAGGGGAGTGTCAAAGGGGGTGTCCCTAATTATTCCTTGATGTTTCCAAACAAGTCTGTGCATGTGCAGACCCCTGGATGCTTACTGGAATCTTTATGCCTAATCTTTGGGTGCCCTTGCCTTGAGGACAATACAAACTCATGTGTCCTCCCAAGATTACTCACCCTACTCATTGTATCTAAAGATAAAAACTTCAATAAAGGCCTTGAGGCAGGCAATTGAGGCTGTCTTGTTGCTATAGCCAGTCCCTTAGCCTCTCTTCAAAGTGTCGGAGTAATCCATTCATCTGTCACTCTGGGGCTGCTGGTCAGCCCTGGCAAACCTCTTTTCTCCCCAGACTCTTAAGAAATATAATATCCTTAGGAAGATAAAAGGGCTGGTTATTATAGTGATTTTATTTTTAAAAATTATTATTTTATATTCATATACCACTTCATAGCTTCTAAAATATTTTCACATAATTATTTTATACTCAAAAGTACCCTATGGAGTTAGTATTGCTTCCATTTTTTAAATGAAAAAAAAAACACAAAACTGACTTTGGATTTGTGAAGTGGTTCAACTTAGGACAGAGGGCAAATTAACTTCTGAACATTCTGATGCATAAGTAGAAATTCTTCGAGATACCATGTTCAATTCCCAATATGACTAACTTCTACATTTCTACATCTACTCTTTAACATACTCTCCAGGCAATTTCATGGATTATGATTGCCTTAAGCCAGTGGCTGTTAACAGGGTGCAACTTTGCTACTCCCCTCCCCCACCCTGGGACATTTGGCAATATCTGGAAAAATTTTTTTTAAAAAAATATATTTTATTGATTTTTTACAGAGAGGAAGGGAGAGAGATAGAGAGCTAGAAACATCGATGAGAGAGAAACATCGATCAGCTGCCTCCCGCACATCCCCCACTGGGGATGTGCCCGCAACCCAAGTACATGCCCTTGACCAGAATCGAACCCGGGACCCTTCAGTCCACAGGCCGACGCTCTATCCACTGAGCCAAACCGGTTTTGGCGGGAAACATTTTTTTATTTTCATGACCAGAAAGGTATTGTTGGTATCTAGTGGGCAGGAATGCTGCTAAGCATCCTACAATGCTCAGGACAGCTCCAGAGCAAAGAATTATCTGATTCAAAATGTCCATAGTGCAGAGATCAAGAAATTCTGCTATAGGCTAGTTCCACCCTAAATGTGTGTAAGTTATGGATGCATTATATGTTATTAGAGGACTGTTGCATGGATTTGTGCACCGGTGGGGTCTTTCGGCCTGGTCTGCGCCCTCTCGCAATCCGGGACACCTCAGGGGATGTCAGAGAGCTGGTTTTGGCCTGATCCCTGCAGGCCATGCTGAGGGACCCCACTGGTACACAAATCCATGCATCAGGCATCTAGTATGCATATAAGATCTTTGGTTAATCTCTTCCCGCCTTCCCCCCTCTCCCCCTCCCTCTGAGATTCATCAGTCTTTTCCATGTTTCCATGCCTTTGCATTGGGGTCTGCTCCCTGGTAGTCAGTGCGCATCATAGCTACAAGTTGAACGGTCGAACGGTCACTTAGGTTTCATATATATATATATATATATATATATATTTATATATATACACACACACATATATATATTAGACACCTGTTGCACAAAGATTCACTTCCTTCCCCTGGCTGCTGGCACTGGGTTTCCTCTGGCACCCGGGACCCAGGCCTTTGGTCCAGCTGCAGTGGAGAAACCAAGCCTCTTCAGTCTACAGTCTTCAGTCTTCACTCTGGCTGGAGCCTTCAGTCTTCGCTCCATGCCTGCATATGCAAATTAACTGCCATCTTTGTTGGGTTAATTTGCATAGTTGCTCTGATTGGCTGGTGGGCGTAGCAGAGTGATACCAATTTGCACGTTTCTCTTTTATTAGTGTAGATATATATATGTATGTATTATATATAGATTATATTTCCTTAAACTCTCATTTTTCTAAAAATTGTTTCCCATCTCTTTTCTACTTCTCTTTTATCACCTTTCTATATCCACAGGTTACCATAAAAGCTGCCATCTCCCTAGTTTGGGGATGGTCCACTAACCACAGCTCAGCCCAATTGTAGTCTTGGGTTTAGGGATACAGACAGACATTCAAGGAAGGTTCTACTCAGTAGCTAAAGTTTTAATATGTAAATCTCTGAAGCTCTTATCAGACTGAATAGAAGGAAAGGATGAAATAAAAACAGAGAGAAGCAATTAAAGGCTGTTGTCTCTGATACCTACATTTATTCCAACCTTTCACATAATTTTTTTCCAAATTATGTCCTATTTCTATCCAGTAACTTTTCCTTTTTCTTAGGTTATTTTGAATTGGATTTCTGTAACTGATTCAAATGACAGAACATTCTCATTATAAACTTATTTTTATTAAAATTTTTATTATTCTGAAACACCATGAATAATAATGGCACTAAAACTCAGTCTATGGATGTCTTTCATATCATCATGTGATCAAAGGAATAGAATGTCTGCTTAAGTTTTATTTCCCAATAAAATTTGTTCCAATTTGTTCTCAGTATCATCTCCAGCTCTCTCAGAACCACACACCCTATGTGCTTAGAATTTTTATTTTTATATTTATTACACAAATCACAGGTTGACTCCTTCAGCTAGCATAAGGGATTATTAGCATGAATCTTGGAGATGTCAGGGAAAATTACTCTTATTCTGTTTCCATGGCATTGAGATCAGGAATGTACTTGGACCAGGATATTCTGGCCTCGATAGTCTGGAATGATAGGTGAGCATTTGGTTCATTCCTTGACATGTATTCTATTCTGCATTGTAAAACTCTGAAACTTGAAATGCTTGCTCCTGGCCCTGGTAGGGTAACCTCCAGCAAATGTCTATACTACATACATGTAGGAATACTTCAGCATATAACTGTCCAGAGGAAGACAGATATGCTTCTAGGCCTTCATTCACTTATACCGTAACCTCTGCAACCATATATCTGCTAGTGAGGTTCAGTACTAGGAGGTTTGCACCCTCTTGGTCCTGGAGAATGTTACTGGCCTTTCTGCCATTTATCCTGACATTTTTTTGTGTTCTTTATGAGAGTAAAACTTGTTTGATGTTTTCAAGTGTTTGTGCTTTGTCTACACATCAAACCATTTACATTGCCAATATAGCAGTCATGCATAGTGACAGCCAATGGAAATGACACAAAGACTCCATATCCAACTAGGGTCATAAATGTTTAGTGACTCTAGAGGTGGTAAGACCTGCAATTATTTAGCATAGTCATGAACCTTTTCTACATCATTCAACATTATGTTTCAGGGAAACCAGTTTGGTCAGCTATGGTGAGCTGGGGTGGAGTGGGCATTGTGACCCTTCCCTCCCTTTCCTAGCAGAAATTCAACGTTTTTGTCCTAAAAGTGAAAATTGCCAAAATCACATGCCCACTCAAATTCAAAGTACCACGTGAGTGAGGGAAATGTGATTATGGGCAGTGCTAGACAAAATTCCTAAAAATATTTAAAATCTGAACAGTATTAATGATATTCCCTTTATTAAACAGATTTCACAGACCTCATCATTAGAGAAAACTGTAATCAATAACCTCTGATTGATTCCAGTTGGGACAGTGCAGCTTTGGTGACTAGTCTGTCCCACACAGCACTAACCAATGCAGAAAATAAAATTGCACAGCTATAACTCAT